GAATGCAGGGTCACTTCTGTACTCTCTAGCCCAGCAAGGGAATTATCTGAAGTGACAGGACTTCTTCCTTCTCCCTGAGGCTCTTGCTGACGTACTGTCCATGTGTCAAGGCAATTCTCTGCAGACAGCTGGCAGAGAGCAAAGTTTAGTAGTATTGCTGGCAGATGAGTCAGCAGAAGAGAAATAGCTTGTTCCTGTAAAGTGCAATGATCTTGTAGGCAGAGCAGCACATGACAGTCCCATCTGACTGTGCTAACGCCTCCCAACTTCAGAGGGACGATAGGACAGCCTCGGAGCAGGCGGTGCCACCTGGGGAGCTGTGCGTGTCCCAGCGCCTGGCTGGTCCAGCCTCCAGTCTTAGGCTGACTCGGGGCCCTGGTGGGAATTGCAGCAGCCTCGGGCTGGAGCGTTTACTGAGCTGTCGCAGTCAGCTCTTGTTTTGCACAGGCTTCAATTTAAGTAGAAGGATTTATTTTGCTTCATCAGGTAATTCTGCAAGTGAAAAGCAGCAGAAGTGGCAGAAGAAATCCTTCTACTGATTTAGATTTACGATAATATTCGTCAAGAAGTGCTTCTGGACATCAAAAGGTAATGCAGATGGGCCAGGTCCTCATGCCACCAGTGTGTTTAGGGTGCAGAAATATCTGATCTGCTTCTCTGGTATAGTGTGAGGCAGGAGTTCTCAGACACCAAGGCTTAAAATCATCAGTGCTGTCCATGAAAATGCAGACAGTGGGATAAGGCTTTGGCTAAGCATGAGTAAATGCTGTGCCTGTTCTTACCTTTTCCACCTGCCAGAGGCCTTAACTTTGGTGTTGTGGTTAAATTCCATCTCCGATGATGGTGTAGTTAACTACACTAAGGGAGAAGTTTTAAATTCCTTCCCTGCCTGTGTATTATTTTCCCTTTGTGGTGATCAGTGCTTATCTTTTTACCCTCCCAGAAGTGGCTGAGTTTCAGTGGGATTCAGTGATTCCCTGGCAGAGAGAGCAGCTCCTCTCCCATCTAGGAGTCGACTGCTCCTCACATAGCCTGTACAAGCCTCTCTCTTGGTGAGCTGGCTGGCAGGTGATGCAATGCCCTTCTTGGATACGGCATATGCACCAAAGAAATAAGTTTCAGAAGCTAAGCCCTGAGTGTTTATAAAACACATTTATGTGGTACAGAGACTGTGATTTGCCCATGGCTTTCCCAAATGGGGCACTTCCGACTTTGCTTCTTGCGAGCAGTTTCTCATATTCAGCCACGGGCTCAGTAATGCAGGAGAGTGATGCCTTTAAATAGAATGATGTTAATATTTTACAGCATGGCTCTTTCTTCTGGTTATGCTTGGTTTCTATCTTGGAGTATTCAGAATGAGCTTTGAGACTTATCTTCTCTTTCGTCTTCTCCATCTGCTGCAAATGTAATTAATTTTAGAACAGCCTGTGTTTTATACATTTGGGGAAGCAAAGCTGTGTCCTTGTGTGTTAGGCTCAGCTACAGATGCTATATCCCATTGTTAGTAAGTAATTGTTTGGGATACTATTTGAGTCAAAATGAAACATTCCAAGATTAGTAGCTTTATCACATGTATGCTGGATGGAGCTGCTGCTGCTGTTTGGCTGGTGCTGTCTCACTTAATGCAAAGTGAATAATAGACTATCTCAAGTTGGAATCCATTCACTTAAGTTATTGTTTGCCGCCATTTGACTACGTATACTCTGAGAAGTGGAAAAGTGAGTTAGGGTGGAGGAGAGCAGATGGTTGGGTGTGGGAGGGGATGGAAGAAGATGTTGGGAGTTTTCTTCTGGGCTGGGACAGTGCTGCTAAAGTGGCGTGTTGCCCTGCGCTGTAAGTTCTTTGGCTTGAGCTCTGCCTCCAGCAGCAAGATGTTGGTGGTAACTCGGCAGAGTGTACTTGTGTGCAGAGAAGTCTGGTTGCTCAGATGGGTTGGGCTGATGTGGGAAGATCTTCACCTGGTTGTGTGGGGGCTTCTGCGTCTGTACTTCAGCACCAAGGTGTCTGCCAGTGCTTGTGTTTTGCTGGGCAGTGGTTCAGAATGTCTGCATGCAGCACATTGACAGGCCCTTTAATTCTCTCCAAAGGGAAGGAATGCAAGCGGTCAGAGACCAACAGGTGACTTGAAGCACAGTGAAATTATTTTGACCAAATAACAAGAAAATCTGCTGCTGTTTCCGTGAATGCTGGGGTTACTTGAAACAGAGACAGGTGTTTGCTGCTTTTTGTGAACTGGATGGTTTCTGCTAGGACCATGGTGGTGAAGTAAATGACTGATACAGAGTGTGCTTGCAAGATGACACCTTGCAAAACCTAAGAATGACTTGTGCCATACCCTGTGTTTTCACAGCGGCACTCTGGAAGCTACTGCATGTATAGCATGGATCTTGCCTGAAAATTAAAAATGTTTGCTTAAGTGTTTGAAGACTTCGAGCTCAGGGTTGAAAACTCTTTTTGCCTGAGGTTGTTTTTGCACACTCCCATATGCCTGTTGTTAGGAAACAGTAAATTAATTACTGGTATGGGAGAAACTTGGCAAATTTTACTCACAAGCGTAATGGAGTGAGTGTTGGATGGGTCATGCGGTTCTGAATTGTCCTTGTGGCTGCTCTTCACTGTCACTTTTATCTTTTCCACAATATTGGTTTGGCTCACCACTCTCTTTTCTTGTTCTTAGTGCATTGTGGTAGGGATACTTAGGTGTATGTAGCCCCAAACCAGTTCAGCTGTGTTTGGCCCTAACACTGTCCATTGGTATCATCTTTATGATCCTTGGTGGGGAGAGCAGGACGTTCACATGTTGTTCAGCTGCATTTGACTCCTTACTTCGAAACATTCCTTAACCTGGAGTCATTTGTACTTGAGTAAGGTTGATCACTAAATCTGCTTCGTAACAACTCTCTTTCACAAAGCAAACTTGGCTGCCAAACAGCAGAGCTTTGCCCAGTGGCCCTTGGTGAGGACAGTCATCCCAAGCAGAGACCTCTGCTGAGGAAAAGGGTGGTTCTCAGAGGGGTATCTGCCCTTTGTCATACCTTGCACTTGCCCCACCTAACACATTCCAGTACACCCACTGCATGTGGGTGGGGAAACGTTTTAAATTCCACACTGCTCTTAATATTAGGGTGTTGAGGTATGCATGTAGGGATCATTCCTGGGTGGAGGGGTCATGCTGCTCTTGGGAATGACACGCCAGAAGTGCCATTTGCTGTACTGGAGCGGGGCACACTTCAAATGAGCAAAAGAGATAATGCTTCTCTTTAGTTTTTGCAAGTCTAGCACCTGTTTTTAACTCCTGCAGCAGCTGAAAAGGGAATGTTTGCTACCATGCCTTCCTATAAGTCCCTCGATTTGCTTCAGCTATGTGAAGCTAGGCTTCCTAATATTCCAGAGACCTTTGGCAAGGTACGGTGTCTCCAGCTCAAAAGCACAGATAACTTAATTCCACATAGCTGTGACAATTTCTGTCCCAAATAGGTAATCTGCCTGTCAGTTTATCACAGACACAGTTCAGCTGAACCACCACTAATTACAACCTGATACGTAAAGTGCCAGAAGTAAGTGTGCCCTAATGTGGTGTCAGCAGCTGCTGCACCATCTGCTGAGTCACCACTGCGGTGGGGAGAGGGGACAAAAGGGGAGCATGTGGCAGCCATCCCAAGGTGAGGTGTTCCCACTGGGGACCTGCAGCTTGGTCTTACACAAACAACAAAGCAAACAGCAAGCCAGCTAGCCATTTAAGTTGTGACCCCTTTCCTCACCCTTATCCTTCTGCTTAGACCTGCTCTTGCCTCGCTTCAGGATGGTACAGGGATGCAGCACACTCACCAGCTGTCTTGGGTGGTGTAAAGGGCAAAGAGTCCAAATGAGAGCTGGGGGAGGGCTGAATGTGGACTGGCCATGTTATAATCCTTAGGTTGCTTTTCAGATGCTAAAATAGCATAATTAGCCTTGTAGTAATGATTTATAATTTGCATTGCAACTCTTGTTCAAATTTCTCTCCAGCCAGCTGACTGCTGCACGCTTCTCTCTGCAGAACAACTCTGAGTTGCATTAAATGATTCAGTATTCCCACCAGGCACCGTTTGTCAAGCCTTGGCAGCTGATGCCAAATACAACTGGCTAAGCCCCTTGTGAGGTGGCTGTGTCTTTGCACTGACCTTCTGTACACTGTGCCTGCTGTTGACTGATTCTGCTTTGGAGGAACTGAGAAATATCTCTTTTTTTTTTTTTCCCCCCTCTCCTTCATTTTGTTCCAGTTCTCACTGGACGTGCTTGGCAAGATGGAGCCACCGACCTCTTCCAGGCTGAATTCCCGAAAGAGAAGAAAAGATGGATCTGGCCCTAATGGGGCAACGGAGGTGGATGGAATACCTCCGAAAATGTCCCGGCGCTCACTCGTAAGTAAGCAGAGATATAACTTTTAGGAGCCTGTGAGACTAGGACATTGAGCTATAACAGCAGAAAGATGCATATAGTGGTTTGTCTGTGGACACAGAAAACAAGGGGAGAGGTGGGGAAGAAGAAGCAAATAACAGTAGCTATCCTTCTTGCAAATCCAGTTTGAAATCTTCCTTTGTTCATACTAATAACATACTTACAATGTGGGCTTAAATTAGGTCTGAGGCAAGCATCACTAAGCTGCTTTTGTGGTGTGTCCGGCTTGGCACTTAAGCTGTAGCCAAACAGGCATGCATATAGATACCCATGGAGAAGCAGAAGTCGTTTCTCACGGGTGGGTTTTCTTAAGTGACTCAGTGGGAGGGAGAAATACAAGCACATAACAACCCATGGCCCTGCAGGAAGGTCTGAAGTCTGTAAGCACCTGAAGAAGTAATCAGTTGAATCTATGCTCTGAAGCACCTGAAAGATGATTATTTGTTTGATTCTCTTCATCTGGAGAAAGACTCTGTTTATGTTGCTGGTACTTTGGCAGTGTTCAGAAAAAAAACACCACCAACAACCGAAAGGATTTCTCCTTTTAGGTCAACCTTGGTATGGCTTTAACAAACTAAAGCCAGTAGGACCTCTTCTGAAGGGGGTCCGGGCCAGTTAAAGCTAGTGTAAATGGCTGACTTTACTTTGTCCTTCTCACAATATTGTGACAGTGGGCTTTTTAAGGTTCTTCTCTGCCGTCTTCCTGGAGCTGTCCTGTGCATCATGTGTGCTCTAGTTGCTCTTTCCTTATCTCTGTCAAAAGCCAGCTGCTGTCCCTGCCATGTCACACTGGGGTCATAGTCCTTAGTAAAACGTGGTGATGTGTTGCAGCTTTCCTCCTCGATGACAATGTTTTCTCTTCAGGAGTGCTTCAACCCTGTCCCACAGCATTGACATGTGCTAATGAAGTAAGAGCAGTGCCAGCAGTGAGAGCTGGGGAGGCAAGCATTGGGAATGGAGGCTTGAGCTGTTGTCTGACTTATCCCACAGAGCCTTTATATTCTTGAGTTTTGTCAAAATCTCTTAAAAAAACATATATTTCAGTAAGGAAAGAGAAGTGTACACATGATTATTCTATGGGAGTCGGTTGCTCTTCAAGTTGGTGTCTGTCCTGTATTAGAAATAAAGCATCTATCCATGAACAGCACAAGACAAGTAATGTCTAGCCACTTTCTAAGCTTCCTGCCTGTTTTTAGCCGCAGGGAAAACATAGGTCTCCTGATGAAAGATTTATTTTTCCTTCCTTCTGTGAAAGTTTTATTTTTTTAGAGCAAGAGTAATAGTGTTGCTTAACCGTGACATTACCTTGAAGCCTTTACCACTCCAGACTAAGCAGCTGGGTGGCAGAGTGTTCCTGTGAAGCAGCAGGGCTCAGCAGCAGATGGTGGTAACAAACCTGCTGACACATAAGCCTGTTGTATTGTGCACATCAGGTTGAGTCCTGACCCTCACAGGCCATGCAGAGAGAGGGCAGGACTCCAGCGGGAGCTTTTGAGGACATTTTTCTGATAGGGTTTTTAATGCTTTTATTCCTAGGTTCCTATCAGATATGTGCCAACCAAAGTGCAGAGAATCTGGTTTTATTCACAAGTCCCAGATACAATAGCAGTGATGAAAGGAGAGACTTGCAGGCATTACCCGACAGTAAGGATCCTGGTAGAGGAGGTGGTGCATGAAACACGGAGCCTCAGTAAGTTAAAGGAGAGGGTCAGCAGTAGCAGTTTGTTTGAATGTAGTGGTCAGTGATTGTTTTCTTGTGCACTTCACTATAAGCACTCTAATAAGGAATGACATTAGCAATAATAGCAGTGGTTTTTCGGGTCGCAGTGGTGCTGGACACCATGGCAGGATTCCACAGCAGGACAGGAAGCCGAAGAGGAAACTGCTGATTAGCCACTTGCAGCTTGAAGGTATTATTGTAATGATCTGCAAGCTTGTTTCTTAGCGTTCTGGCTCAGGAACGAGATGTCCATTGCCGCCCCATGCCTTCCGGCTAGAAGAAAATTGAGCTGTTTGTTTTGTTATGGGAAGGGCAGATGTTTTGTTCCCATGCAGAGGGGACCAGAAGTGATGCATGGAGTTCAGCTGTTGATTAAATGTACTGCTGTGGTCAAGCTTAGCAGGGGTTTTCCTGCAGCAGTCAAAGTTATTCTGCCACAGATCGATCTCACTCGTGTAGCTCAGAAATGGGTGATGATGCACACATTCCCTGTGAATCAGTGCTGCTGTTGGTATTGCTCTTCTGCTTGTTCATATCCTCAAATTGAGGAGCTTTTACAATTTGCACGTCATGGCACAAACACTGAGGCACAACAGAGTGATGGTCTTGCTGGGGTGGGCACAGCTGGAGCTGCAACAGTGAGCTTGAAGCTTGGCTTGTGCTGCTGTGAACTGCTGTTTGTCAAAGGTTTAGGAGCTGCAGATCTGAGCCTCCAGTTTTCTTGGGTCCAGTATAACTACCATCTTCTAAACTCTTCTCTGTCTCTAAACTCAGGCTAATCACCCTGCGGGGCTGTTTTGAGGTTTTACACTAATTAGACTTTTAGTACATATGTTTAAATTGTGCAGAGACGCAGTGAGTCACTTGGTGGCTAGGACACTGCAGTGGCAGTGCTCTGATCTGCCTTCACCTTTGCATTCTTCCCTGACTGTTTAGGGACTGAGGGAGCCAGCTCCATTTTCAGATGAAGTGGAAATCGACTACAGCAAGCCATACGTCAGAGTAACATATGAAGAAGCGCTGAGAGGGACCCCTTGTAAGTGAAAAAACAGACTGGAAGGGAATTGTATACATGTTGGGGTTTGGGGGTGTGGGTATGATTGTGATATCTCTGAGGCCAAAACAACCTTGTGTGTCAGACCAGATTTGCAGCCAATGACTCAGTTAATGCTTTAGTGATTAGATAACTGTTCCCATGTGAAATTGGGGCTGTCAGTACAACTGACACTGGAGCTTGTGTGCGTGAGGAGCTGTACATTTCACCAGTAAAACTATTTGAAGCAAATGGATATTTGTTTTAACTCTTCCTGTGCCATTGACAACTATAGAGTAGTATCAGAGCTGAACATTTTCTGTACCACTTTATCTGAGGTAGCTTAAAGTTCAGCAGTTTAAAAATCATCTTTTCTGCAACCTGAAATGGGCAAGTAAAACCAATATATATCTTTGTCCAGAATGTCCCATTCTAGACTGGATTTGAATTCAGGTTAGCATCATAAAACAGGGTAGGCCAGCCCCACAACAGGAATGTGTCCTTTTATTCTCTAAACCAGGCTGGGAGAAACACTGTTCCCTTTGCCAAGTCCAAAGTGGAGGCAGAGGCAGGACTGAGTCATCCCAAAGGATGACTGCCCACTCCTACCAGAGTGTGCAGGTGGTGCTGTCTTACTTGGCCTCTCTGTTATGGCTACAGAGACAATAAAAATGCTGCACTTCAACTTACCTGACTGCTGCTGTGAGAGATGAGCCAGCTCAGATTGAGACCTGGCAGTGGTTTCCTGCCAGAGGTTCTGGAAAGTCAATGTATTTCACAGTCTGCATTTTACTTCCGAGATGAGTTTTTTTCTGCCTGAAAGTCTCCAGAGCCTGCACAAAGGTCTCTTATTTCAACAGTGGCTCTCTCACCTGCTAGGACTAAAATACACTGCACACTTCTCTGTTGCTGTTCATGTCTGCACTTGCAAACTGTAGCTGCTGCAGGTATGGAGGAAAGGGAAGGATGTCCCAACCAATTTCCAGAATGTGATTGTGCATTCATAAAGACCTGCCAGGACCTGTGCCTTCTGGCATACAGAAAGCTTTTGAAGTCTCAGATCTCCAGAGCCTCCTGGCATCTTCAGACTGAGGTCCTAGAGTCACTGAAAAGTGGTTGTAAGGGGCTGTCCTTAAACTGACTCCTCTGCTTAGCTTGAACTTAACAACCCTACCTTTGCATCAAGTCCTGTTCTTGCTGCCTCCCGGGCTCTGTCTCTGGCTGCCTCCAGGGCCCTGCCCAGACCTGTGGGGTCTCAGCTCTTCTGCTAGGTCTTCTCTGCCCTGTCCCTGCTGCAGCTTTGGTGTGCCTCTGCTCTCACTGCTTCCCTGAGTCTGCCTGAATTGGGCTAGAGAGCAGCAGGTTGTTCCCAGGTGCGTGAGATACAAAGACTGTGTGGCTTTCTGTTACCAGCAGCAAGAGGACTGCAGTCCTGTGTGATCCCAGGAGATCAGAAGTCAGGGAGCCTCCCACTATTACGTGGCAGTGTTAGACTATCTCACTTTTCCTCTGTGCTGATCTCAAAGAGCTGAGTTACAATTTCCCCTGGCCTGAAGAAAGTTTTGTTCCTCCTTGTTTATCTATGGCTTTAGCTGATAATGCCAGTGGTTCATCAGAATTGTGTCTGCTTTTCTTTGAGTAGTCTGGCTGGGTCATACACTGCATGGGTTTGGGGGGGCCAATGATGCTGGTGGGGAAACAGAACAGTCTGGTCCCTCAGCCAGACCGGTAGCTGTGGCAGTGGGCTGCAGAGGGGGATGCTGTAAAGGTCTTGAGGTGCCATCCTGGCAGGCAGGAGGAAATCGGGCACCTGTGAAACATTTGAGCCAGTTCCCCTCTGGTGTACAAAAAGTTAATTCTGCATTTGGATTTCCATAGAAGGAAAATGTTTAGGGTTTGCTTTTCCCTTGGTCTCCCTTCACCTTGTTGGGGTGATATATGCTAGGCTTTCAGTCTGTCTTTGAATGTGGTTGTATTTCAGCTCTGTGCTCAGCTGCATTTGTTTCCACGTGGGAAGGCAGAGAGCCAGCCATTTCTCTTCACAAATCTGTCCTGGCTACGGCTCTGTGTTCTGTAACACCCCCGTGAGTTTCAGAAGGTCTTCAAATGTGGGCATGAGCAGCAGCTGCTTCTCCAGGAAGGCATCTTCACAACTGTCTCTCTGTCCCTTTGGCACAGTGGATCGCCCTGTCAGAGTTTATGCCGATGGAATATTTGACTTGTTTCACTCTGGACATGCCCGGGCCTTGATGCAAGCAAAGAACCTCTTCCCAAACACATACCTCATTGTTGGAGGTAAGGAGTGACCTTGTTGACTTTGGCTGTTGCAGAAGTACAGTTTGCCTCCATCTGTGGTTGTGCATACAGGGATTTTGTCTTTGTGGCCTCAGTGGCTCTCAGTGCAGTTGTCCCAAATATTCCTGGAGTCCTATTGCAATACATTCAGGGTAGGATATGTCTGCAGAAAGATATCCTGTACCAAATGAGTGCTTCAGGAAAATATTTTTGCTCATGCTGTTCTCATTTGGCTCCTCTATTTTGTGACAGATACAGGTGAGTTGCACATCTGAGTATCAAAATACATTAAGGATAATTAAGCATCTGCCTCTTGAATGAGACAGCTAAAGAATGAGTAACGATCCCTCCATGGATGCTTGAGCTTTGTGTCACTGTATCGCCCTGCAAATCACTCTCCAGCTCCAGCTCCCTGCTGAGAATTGCTTATGGCTAATCCCAAATGAGTCCCACGGGGAGTGTGGAGATCACAGTGGTTTCCTGGGCATGTGTTTGGCCACATGGAAGTCAGTGAGACCCCATTTCTCCAAATAGAAGTTCCTCGTTTTGTCTGTTAGGCCATAAATCTTTAGATGATGCCAGGAATATCCTGCCAAGTGCCTGAAGGGATCTAGCAGAGGTGTTTCAGCCAGACTTCTGTGAAGAACATAATGTAGAAATATATGCCCTTCTTCTGTCTGCTGTAATACAGAGGCCTGTGTCCAGGCAGTGCCTCTGTGCCCATCAGGCTGTGCATGTTGTCTGTTGGGAGCTGACCCCTGGTCAGGCTGCATAACAATGCTAAATTATGAGAACTGAGAATACCTTTAACTAGTTTTCTCCACTCCCATTGGCTTCCTGAAGCAAAATGAAACTCCAATCCTATGATAGAATGACCATAACATCCTTGGGTGCTTTGTTTCCTTATCACAGTTTCACTCACTGCTGAGGGCATTTTTACAGTGGTACATCTGCATTTTTTGTGTGTGCTGCAGTAGTGTCTGCAAGGGGAAGGGAGGGAGGAGAGCTGAAACAGTTGCCCCAACCTACAAAATTCCCTGAGCTGAGGAATCTTGAAGGCGGAAAGACATCCCCATGTATATAAACAATGTATATAAAACAGGAAAAATAACTACAGGTCAAAATATTAATATGTTAAAGTGGCAAGGAGTGTAACCATGCTCTCTGCCTCTGGAATACTGGTGAGGAGGTGGAGGGCAATGAACTGCTCCCCTTGCGCCAGGAGACAAGAGGACACAGCCCAAGAGAACATTACTCCAAGCAATCTCACCCACATTTTATCATCTGTTTGTCTAGAACATAAATACATCCAGTACCAGTGAGGCTGGTAATGCATTGTTTGCTTTTGAGTCTGATAATCAAATAAAACTCCCTCCTTAATATCTGACATTGCAGATTATGAGGAGTTGTTAATTTACTTTCTCGTAAAACATAATAATTAAGCTAACTTGATTTTCTGTGAACTCACCCTTTGCTTGAATACAGCTTTCCAAGAATTGGACTGTGGTATGGCATTTTATGATATCAGAAGTTTAGGCACTGGGTTTTTTTCATGGCCTTCAGTTTCCAAGCCAGAGGCATCCATAGGTTTAAAAGAGGATTTCTGCCCAATAGGCTCCCAGGTGTCATTTCATATGGGAGACTTGTTCTCTATGTTGGCTGGTTTTCTTGATAAGCATTGTAAGCCTTAGAGACTGTGAAGGCTTGGGATTTGGGTCCTCATCTTGGGCAGAAATTCCTCAAACAGCCTGCCCAGAACTGTTCAGGAGTTTAGTGCCCTGCACCGCTCCCTGTTCCTGGTGCTTTGTGGGTGGAAGAGCTGGGTTTGGGAGTGCCAGTGCCAGCCTCTGTCAGCAGCTGGCATTGCCTGGTTCATCAGGGGTGTGTGTAAAGTTCTTCTACTGTAAAACACTGGGCTAAGTACCTCAGGCTCAAGTCTTTTCTGCCTTTTTCTCCAGTCTGCAGTGATGAGCTAACCCATAACTTCAAGGGCTTCACAGTAATGAATGAAAATGAGAGGTATGATGCTGTGCAGCACTGTCGCTATGTGGATGAAGTGGTGAGAAATGCACCGTGGACGCTCACCCCTGAGTTCCTGGCAGAGCACAGGGTAATTTGTGACATCTAATCTGTTTGGAATTTTGATTAGCCTCTGTCTGTGCTTGCAGTTTACAGCAAGAATTTATCCTTGGGGGTGTCCTCTGCCTGAGCAACCTGTTTATGTTGAAAGTCCTTAGATATAGTGTGAAATGGGTTACGAGAATCGAGGGGTTTTCTTGGGAGACTAGAAACGCTTGCTGAGCTGGCAGGTAATGTTAAAATAAGGTAGAGATTGTGACATGGTGAGAAAGCCTGAGAGGGTTCTTACTGTTCCAGGAGAAGTTGGTGCTGGTTTACAGATAGGTGTGAAATGCAGAAAGGAGAGGGTATCATGGGTTGAAAGGGATTTCTGGGGGGCATCTGGTCTAACTCCCTGCTTACAGCAGGGGCAGCTTAGATATAGATCAGCTTCCCTGCAGCAGCAGACCAGGCAAGCTGTCTTGAGAGCCTTTTATCAGTTAGTAAGATAAAGTGAAAGGAATCTCGAGCATCTGGTGTACTGCTCTAGGAAGTGATAACCTGTGCTGCTTTGAGGGTTTCCAAGGCAGCTTGCTTAGTCTTAGTCTACCTTGTTGCCATTAACAAGCCATTTCTCTGTGGGGCTTAAGACAGCTGTGTCCTTACTCCCAGCCTGTCCTTTCCCCTCTGGCATGTGCTTACAACTGATAGGCAATCGCCAGTGAGAACTTGGGACTGCTCTGTCTTGCTTTGTAACAGAGGAAGTGTCTTGCTGTTCTTGATCTCCCCTGCATGAAGGTGTTGAGCCGAAAGTTACCATCCTTTGACAGAAAGCAGGAAAGCTGTGTGTTCAAAATAAAATGTTGACTTGCTTTTTTAATTTTCAGATCGACTTTGTTGCACACGATGACATCCCCTACTCATCTGCTGGCAGTGATGATGTCTATAAGCATATAAAAGAGGCAGGTGGGTCAGGATCAGATTCTCCAGGGCTTCCTGCCAAAGATCTGCTGTAGCTTCTCCTGTGCCCCTGTATGGCATGATTGCACCTGGGGAAGTGGCAGTGCCCCTCTGGGAACCAGGTCTGCCCAGGAGGTTCTGAGAGCAGGAGGAAGCAGCTTTGGGCCCTAGTTCTTAACACTAGCACTGCTCTGTGTCCCAGGCCAGGCATGGCCCAGCATTAATTCCTAATTCCAATCTAGTTACTGTGACTGAATTGACAACCACCTCTTGAAAACATGCTACGGTTTGGCTCATGGATTTTCCCAAATGGGGAATCTGGTTAACTTAGCAAAGGGACTTCTCTAACTGCTGTAAAGTTCACTGGAGTTGCATCTATTTTACATCCAAACTCAGCCCTCAGAGCATGTTATACTTCCACCCACTAAACTGTAGCAGACCTTGTCCTGTCCTTGTCCCCAGCACTATTCTACATGCAGTGGATTACAGTCAATAGTCTTTATACCAGCTAAAGCAAAGAGCTTTTCATTAGAATACCTGATATTTTGATGGGGTTTTGACATGCTTTGGTCTTACTTTGGTATTCCTTATAGTCTCAGAAAGGAGGACTCTGGTATTGTACATTCAAGGGCAAAGATGTGGTGGTGTGAGGACAGTTAGGAAATGAGCTCTTAGCAGGAGAGATTGCTTCCTAGTAGAGGTGGCAGCAGCTTTTTGCCATGTGTCTTGCTACAGCTGTCCTGGGTCCTGTTCCCCAACTTTAGGCATGTTTGCACCAACTCAGAGGACTGAGGGGATCTCAACGTCAGACATCATCACACGCATCGTGCGGGACTATGACGTTTATGCCAGACGGAACCTGCAGCGAGGCTACACAGCTAAAGAGCTCAATGTCAGCTTCATAAACGTGAGTTGGAGTGTGTCTTACCACATGCTGCATGAGCCAGAGTCTTACAGAGTGTGGAGGTGCTGAGTCTTCTCTAGTGGTAGCACAGTCCTGTCATATGCCAGTAAAAGACCTGCCTGCAGAACTAAGCATTTGCACAAAACCACTGTCCTTGGAGTAGAAATTGACTTCTGATATCACCTCAGAGACCCACCCAGAGAACTGGGGGTTTGCTCCATTGTCAGAGATGTCTTGGTGACATTTTACCTGTTGGAAGAGCTGGTGAGAGGGTGTGTGGCCAAGTGTGTGCTTTCTTGAATTGAATGAAGAATGGGTTCTTGGCAGTAGATGCTGTCTCATCTCTCTCCTCTTCCCTCAGCCACCTTCCTAAGGTAGAGTCATTTGTTAGGATAAAATCTGATCCTGTTTCCACTGTGTTGTTCCCTTCCTGGAGCTGCAGGAGCAGCAGTGCTTGGGTAGGAGAGAAGGACATGCCCTGATCTTCTGCTGAGCACCTCTAGCCCACAAGCAGAATACAATTCAGAAAACACTTCCGATGCTGGAAGTAAAGTAGTAAACATTCTTTTTTTATCACTCAGATACTATGCTTTGAACAACAATAAAACAGGGGAGGTAAGGGCTGCTTGGCCTCTCTTTGACATGTGACTCTGCCTCTGTTTACAAACACCCAGCAAAAAGACTGGTGCTGTTGAGATATGCACAGAGACCTACAGCAGGGCACTCAAATCTAATCAGTATGTTGTATAAATATTTCCCTCTTCCATGCACTCCTATTAGATAGTGCTTATCTCTGGCTTTAGTCTCGCTCTGTACTCTGCCAGTGCCTGCCACAAAGCATCTCACAGCCCTGCTGTGTCTGCCATGTAGTCTAGAGAAGAAGTATCACTGATGTGAAGGAGAAGTGTCACCAGACTAATGGAGATGCTGTGTCTTAAGCAGCAGTTCAGTGTAATAACACAGAGCAGAGGCAGTCACTGCTCAGATCTGGTGAGCTGTATTCTGATCCACCACTTACTATGCAGGAGAAGAAATATCACCTCCAGGAACGTGTGGATAAGGTGAAAAAGAGGGTGAAGGATGTAGAGGAGAAGTCGAAGGAATTTGTCCAGAAAGTGGAGGAGAAGAGTATTGATCTCATTCAGAAGTGGGAAGAGAAGTCCCGGGAGTTCATCGGCAATTTCCTGGAGATGTTTGGCCCAGAAGGTGCATTGGTAAGGAACTGCTCTGGGGAAAGGGGATTTTGAAGAGATCAGCAGTCATTGCAGAACTTCTGCAGAGCAAAGGTTTAGTGTTTGTTGCAGTGCTCAGTGTGCTGCCAGTCTCCAGACAAGTTGTCCCAGGCTTGGGCAGCCTGTTTTCAGGGAGCCCTCACCATTGCCAACTGGATAACACCGGTTAGGGTTGTAGAGTGAAAAGTTCCCTACCCCACAAGTCAGCTGTAAACTGCAGCTTGTGCCCTGCAGGCCACTGAGCCACCAAGAGGATGGCAGTCACTTTGTCACTTGCCTGGGATGAGGCTGAAGCTACTTGTTTATGCCAGGCTTTCCTCTGCTGCTGGGTAAATAACACAGGCTCTTCATGTTAGGAGTGCTTGAAAATGGGTGGTAATTACACTGGGCAGTTTCCAAAGCCCAGAGCAATGCTGGGGCTTTTTCTGCTCCTACATGACACAAAGTATTGAAGGAACACAACTCAAAATGATGCACAAGCTCTAAGTAGTGTCCATTTCCATGACTGTTTAAACCATGCTAAGTGTCTTCCTGCTTCCACCACCAGAAACACATGCTGAAGGAGGGCAAGGGCCGGATGCTGCAGGCCATCAGCCCGAAGCAGAGTCCCAGCAGTAGCCCCACGCATGACCGCTCCCCATCTCCCTCCTTCCGCTGGCCCTTCTCCACCAAGACTCCTCCTTCTTCACCTGCCAACCGCTCCAGGAACGAGTCTGCAGTCACCTATGACATCAGTGAGGATGAAGAGGATTAAGCTACCTGCCAGGATTTGCTGCGAACCACTAATCGCCGAATCCTAAGTCCAGACCCACTGGGGAACTCTGAACGAGCAAGAGAGCCATAGGAACAGGGCTGATGGTGAGCACAGGGCCTTGGAGGCACCTGATGCTCTTAGCAAGGGCTGCTGCCTGGAAGTACATTCAAACCTCCTTTCCCTTCTCCTCCCCAAATCCCCTTTTTATTGTTTACGTTCTCATGGTTTCCAGGGTGAAGACGGTTTTTCTATTTTAAGGAAATACTATTTAAAAGCGCAAAGAATAGCACTCAAGTGTGGCTTTTGTTTTGGTTTCTTTTCCCTTGTTAAACCTCCAGGCAAGAGGGAGAGTGGGAAGACCCATCTGTCTCTTCTTTCCTTCAGCTCCTCTGTCTTATTCCCCTCACCCCCAGGCAGTATCCGTGCTGCTGCCAAACAAAAGACCCCTTGGTTCCTCAACCAGCATGACCTCAAGAGCACACACTAAGCGGTGGTGTAACGAGGCTTCTAGGAAATGGAGACATCCCTGCTGGGCTGGAGCCGATAGGAATCTATCCAGCAGACCCTGTAGTGCTCACATGCCTCTTAGCTGAGCTTCCCAGCGTGTCACAGTGAGGACGTGCTGGGTAGGGGCTACCAGCTTGGCACGCAGGAGTTACACCCGGGAAGGACTCACAGCACTGTAGAGTGGCACATCCCGTAAACACACAGCATTCACAGCTCCAGATTGTACAGTGGCTGCAGGGGAAAGGCCTTCCCAGCTAACCTTAACAAGACTGATAAATCTTGAGCTAAAATTCAGCCCTCAGTTGCTGTTGGAGAGAAGAGAATGAATCTTTGCTTCAGGGCACTTGCTGTCTGTGCATTTCCTTGGGTGTGTGAGAGCCCAGGTAGGAAATGAATGTGTGTACTCTTTTGAGAAGTTCCTTGTCCCAGTCTGTGGTGTGTTGTACGTTTTACTGTCTATCCAAATGGCCCCTCAGCACTGTGCTCTGTGTGTGTTTGTCTGTGTTTGAGTTGCTGTGCTCTAAGGGCTGGAGCAGTCCTTTACACTGTGCCATGAAGTTGCAGCTATAAGGACAAAGCAGCCAGTTTGCTGTCCACATTTATGTGTGCAGCTGGACAGATGAAGGGCACGTTTTACCCCAGTGAAGGGTCCCAGCCCCATGTGACAGTTACCTGGCTTGTGTAGTACATGCACAAATCAGTGCCTGCTCACTCTGCTCCTTGGAACAGGCCAGAAAGAGCATGAGAGAGCACTGCAGCTTTTTAAGATTTTAAACGTGTAATGATTGTTTGAGTCTGTGGTCCAAGTTGTGCCTGCTGTCGTGTCTGTGATACACACTGAGCTTTGTGGCCTGCAGCTCCCCACAGGCACTCACCCTCCCCATGTCTGTGCAGAGCAGGTCAGTGCACTCTGTCCTGCAGCCAGTGCTAGAGGGACTGGCCTTGCTGTCTTGTAGCTGTGGAGCTCCCGCTCACTTTTCTGTCAGAGTTTGCCTGTGATGCCTGTTGTCTCTGGGTGGAGCTCCTGGGCCGAGTTCCCTGTATCCTGCAGTGCTGGGAGCAGAGGATAACTCAGAGCCTGGACAGCAATGCTGCAGGGAGGTCTTCAGAGTGGAATGCAGGGCTTGGGGAGCAGTGGGTGCGAGGAGGAAAATCGTCAGGTGGTGCTACAGGCTCTGCGCAGTGTGATGCTTTAGGGCACGCAGGGGACCTGTGGTAGGAACAGGCTGCAGCTTCTTTCCAGCTTTTATCTTGCTGATTCTTTGTCACACTGCCCAAAGGGCTTGACACAGACTCTGTGCTTCTGTTGAGGCCAGAGCCAGTACAGGAAAGGGAAATTTGGGGATCTCTAATCTGCCACTTGGACCTCCCTTCAGCAGGGATGCGCTCGGCTCTGGGAACGTGGCTGGCTGCTATGGACGTTAAGCTGTAAGGAGCAAATAATGGTCACTTGGTAGAAGCCAATTGCTAATCACCTGGTTTATGAGTGGTAGAGCACTTACTTTGTATCACCCCCATTCTCTCTTCCCTGATCTTCCCCCACCTTCCCTTCCTCACCCTTCCCTCGGTATGGGTGTTGCATTGCTTTCCTGAGCCGGATCACGAGGGCCAGGCTGCTTTAGAGCCTTACTACTGTTTTAAACACAAGTTATGCAACAGTGTTCTGTAAATTTGGATAACAATGGTGTTTTGGATGGTGGGTTGTTCTGTAGAGACCTTAACACATTTGGTCTCTCTGCAGAACTTGGGGTGCTTGGTAAGAAGCCAGCCATGGTTTTACATGTAGCTTGAAATAACAGAGCTGTTTCTTGTAACCAATAATCCCTGCTTCCTCCTTGCACTGAAATTAAATTGGACACTCAAATCTCAGTCTAGTCTTTTCTTCTTTTCTTTTTCCTTTGCTGTTTTGTTTCCTCCTGGATTGCTGGACCAGTCGTCTCCAGCACTGCCATGTCCTGTTAGGGAATAGGTAAGAGCTTGATCTTTCAGCAATACATGTGAGCCAAGTTCCCCAGGAATATCTTGTTACATGCAGATATACCCCATGCTGGTGCTTCAAGGCTGTCCTGCACACCCCTAACCCATCCCTCACTCTTCAAAACATCCAGAAGAGACATGCTTGAATTGAGCATGAAGTAAGAGGTACAACGGGAAAATAAAACTTTACCAGTACACAGTGAAGAACATGTGGAGGTTGATGCTGCTAACTCCAGAGGCATCTATTGTGAGATAGCCCTACCTCACTTCCTCTGTAGATTTGGGATGTGAGCCCCTGGGAAAGGATTTTCTTTCTGAAATGTGCCAAGGATGCTGGTCGAAGCAAGAGCATCAGAGGGTGCTGCAACTTTCTAAGATTTTAAGCATGTGATCTGTTTGTTTGAAACTATAGTCCAAGCTGTGCCTGTTGCCACGTCTATAATGAAAATTTGGGGTCAAAAGATTACTCAGTGGTTTCTGCAAGTTGTCATTGCTCCTGATGTCCATCTGCACCTCTGTTCTAGTTGTAGAGCAGATACTTCTACCAGAGCAAGGCTGGTTAATGCAGTATTAACTAATTGCTTGTGTTCTGAAAGTGCTTCAAGGCTCCCTCCTTTGCCTGGCACCAGGCTGGCACATGTGGATGCTCCCACTGTGTTCTCAGGAGCAGCCACTGCCATGGAGAACATGCCCCAGGGACAGGCCAGACCCATCGAGAGGTCTTGGGAGAAATCATCATTGCCCTGGCTGTGCCTTGGCTGTGGGACCCCAGCCAGCAGCACCCAGAGGTCAGTGTCACGACGGTGTTGGGCATCCTGTGACGGTCCCACGTCATCACTGCGTTGGGCTGGGCTCCATCCTCCACTCTGTGTGGAGTCATCTCCCACCCAGCCTAGACAGAGACAACATGAACCCAGTCACCAAAACAAGACTCAAGTACAAATTTATATTTACTCAGTGCTAGACAAGAACTCCCAAGGCCAGAGGCAGCTTCACAGTCCCCCTTGGCTTGTGGCTGTCATGTTTCAGACCCTTTCACTCTGTCCCAAGATGCCCTTTCCTCCCCTGCTGCCAGCAGCTCCCCAGGGCTGGGGGAGGAGGAGATGGCTGTACAGGGCAGAGCAGCCCCTCACCCCACTCTGTTCCTTGGCACCCCAGATTCTCCCTGTTGCTCACGCCTTGATGTCGGTGCCTGTGGGTGCAAAACTGACGGGCTGGTAGCCCGGCTTGTCATCCGCCTTGCGGTAGTAGATCCGCGTCAGCACTACCAAGATGAAGGTCTGCGGGATCAACAGCTGCATGTTCATCTCTGTAAGAGCAGAAAGGTCGTTTGAAGCCACCTTCATCCCCTGTGCCCACTCCCCAGGCCGTGCCGTGTGATGGAGGGGCTCAGCCAGGAGCACACGGTGCTGCTCCCCAGTCTCCGACTTACGCTGCGACCTGGCCTTGGAGGAGAAGGGTGGCGAGCAGGCGATGTTGCCGTTGTTGGCCAGGATGCTGAAGATGGCAGGCTGCAGCGCCGTCAGGAGGAGGAGGACCTGTGACCATCAACACCCCGTGTGGTGGGGGCTGTGCCACCGCCAGGCTCCGCCCTTCACCTTCCCTGCTGTCCTGCAGCTGGACCAGGCTCTCGCCCAGCAGCAGCTCCTGTCCCACCATCTTCCCCCACGTCGCCTCATCCCATCTGTGCTGCAGGAGCACCTCACCTAGGGAGGAGCTGGGCAGGACAGGGGCAGTCTCACCTGGAAGCAGGTGAACTTGGCCCTGATGTTCTGCTCAGTCAGGTGCAGCCGGGCCTGCCGGAAGAGGATGCCCAGGGCCCAAAGCCCAAAGAGGGTGGAGGCACCAACCAAGGTGTTGATCCAGAGAGCCACGCTCTCTGCTGAAATCTGGGGGGGACACAGGGAAAACATGATTGAGCTGACAAAGATGTCCCAGCAAGCAAAGACGGGTGGAGGTTCCCCGTCCAGGACATTGCCCTGCCCATCCCTGTGCCCTGGCACTCACGTCAGCAGGGTTGTAATTCCCATCAGCAGCCAGGACGAGCCCCAGGAAGACAGCAACTGCCCTGCAGAAGGCATACTGGAAAGTCCCCAGCATCATGAGTTTAAGCTTTTTCCTGGAATGCAAGAGAGACCAGTAGCATTCTGAGGTCCCCAAGCCCCTGCCCAGGAGCCTCTCTTTCGGCCTAGCAGAACCAGGGGATGAAAGCCATCCTCAGGGCCAGGGGCTTATCCCATCTCTCCCTCACCTGCTCATGGTGATCCGGGGCAGACAGGGGCAGCAGCAGCAGCAGGGCCCAGTGCTGACCACCATGGGCACATCCTTCAGGGTGCTGAGCACTGCCTCCTTCCCTCCAAACCCCTCCACCATGACCAACATCAGGAGGTAGAAGCAGACAGCGAAGTACCTGGGGGGAGGAAGAGGATGAGGAAGGCAGGTCAAGCCCCATGGGCTCCATGGTGCCCCTGTCCCAGGGCAGGTGATACTCACGCTGTGGTAGCCATCTCCACCACCATCATGGAGCGTGGGAACCACAGTCCGAAGCAGCTGACCACAGACACTACCTGGGGGAGACAAAAGCTTGGCACACTGATGCTCCCCTCTCCTCTGGGCTGGCACCCCTTGGGTGGCCCTGGTCCCCCGGGGTGATGCCCCCCACCACACCCCACCCCAGCTCACTGTAGGGGCTGAGCTGCTCCAGCGGAGAGTCTTCATCTTGATGGGGCAGCGGATCTTGTGGGTGAGGTAGAAAGCCTCTTCCACGAAGATTGCGACTGACAGCAGTGTCATGATGGTGCAGAGGCCCAGGATGGTGAGTTGGGCAATGTCCAGCTCTGCCAGGGAGGAGTGGGAAACTGTCTATATCCTGTCCTGTTCTCTCTGGGGCCATCGCAGCAGGGAGCTGTCACCCAACCCACAACTCCACAGGTTTGGGAAGCTCCTTGCCACACCCTGAACCTGTCTGGCTGTGACAGAGCTGGTGCTTCAGCCCCGCTGCTCTCTGTCCTGTGTCACCTGCCCCGGTGCTGGTCCTCCCTGGACCGTCCCCGGCCCTGCACAGGCAAGGCTGTGGGATGGGAGGCTGAAACCCTGGCAGCACCTGCTGCCTCCCCCTTCCTTGGGGCTGCTCTTTGTCTGCACCTGCCACCCTACCACCTTCATGCCTGTCCTGCCCCTGCCAGCGGGAAGAGGAGAGTCCCCCCACACGCTGTCCCCCCACCTACGGTAGAGCAGCTGCCGGGAGGTGGGCGGCAGGGGGAAGAAAGCGGCCGGGCCCCGGAAGTTCTTGAC